TATGTGGCATAAAATTGGTTATTGCAAAAATATGCGTCCCTTTTAAAGTAACTGTTCTAAATCTATTCAGAGGAAAGATTATTGAAAAGTACAAGTCGTGGGATTAGTACAAAAAGACTTCCAAGGCCCTGAACATAAATCCTCCATCATGAAATGGAAGGAATATGAGACGTGTAAATCTACAAAGATCAGGCTGCCCTCACTAATTGAGTGTACATAGGTGTCGCAATGATTATATGTGAAGGGGACGTGTCCCCTCACATTAAAAAAAATTGGTATGCCCCCCCCCCCCCCCACCCCCCCCCCCCCACCACCACCACCACTACTACCACATTTACCATGAAATAATAGTTCACCCAATTCTGTTTCTATTTCTTCGTGAAAAAATCTATTCCACATGATTAATAGGAACCCACTAAAAGTCTACTTGGGGTTTTCCTGGTTACCTACAACAATTCACCACACTGCATGCAGTGTTTCCTCCAAGTCACTTGGTTTGACAAGGCGCTGATCTCTTGGGGGGGTTTTTGTTTGTTAGTTTTGTAAACGGGACGGGGGGAGGAGGAGACACCTCTGTATGGTGCTCCGCTAGCTTAGTGCTACGTTAGTATCGTCAATTGTCGAATGGGGGGAGGAGCGAGCATTGTGCCTTGCTCCCTAAAATAGTTATTGACTCAAGTGTTAACATAAGTAGGTAAACGTAGATGTTTAACAGCATGTTAAAATACACCAGAATGAAGGAAATGACATCTACTTTATTCAAACCTTTCTGGGGGAGGACCCCCAGACAGCCCCATCAGTGTGTCCCGCCCATAGTGCAAATGCTTCTGACACCAATGACCTTGTAAGAATAAGAATAGTGAGTGAGGCCACAAAGGACACATGTGAGCACTCTGAAGGAGTTACAAGCTTCAGCAGGTGAGCTGGGCATACAACTGGTGTCCTGATGTTTTTGCAATCACCTATTTTACATGTACAAATTGATATTACTTTTTAGAAATTTGTTTTTTCACGTTGCAGCATGGTGGCGCAACTGGTAGAGCTGCTGCCTCTCAGCAAGCAGGTCCTTGGTTCAAACCCCGGTCCAGGGGCCTTTCTGGGTGGAGTTTGCATGTTCTCTCCATGCATGCATGGGTTTTCTCTGGGTACTCCGTTTTCCTCCCACAGACCAAAAAACATGCATGTTAGGCTGATTGATAACTCTTAAATTGTCCCTAGGTGTGAGTGAATGGTTGTTTGTCTAGTTTGTCTCTATGTGTCCCTGTGATGGACTTGCGACCCGTCCAGGGTGTACCCCGCCCCTCGCACAGTGATTGCTGGACATGGGCACCAGCGACCCCCGTGACCCAAAATGGAATAAGCGGGTAAAGATAATGGATGGATGGATGGATGTTTTTCACGTTGACATTTAGAACTATTTTTTATTTTTCTAATTTGTACAACAGGCCAATTTTTATTATGATTTAGGAGCGTAACTGATTTAAGACAGCAGTAAGAGCAGAACACATTCGAGGAGATGAATACCTTTAGAGGCACTGTAAACTTGTTTGCTTCCATCCAACCCTGGGAAGGCTTTTGCAGTGATTCAACGCTATGGAGAGAAATTGAATTGAACTGAGATTGAATAGGAAAGGCAGATGTGTTTTTTAATATCAGAGCGTGTCTGTGGGTGAAGAAAGGGTTGACGAGAGGGTGGGGAGGCTTACTTATTGTGCCAGCTTGCCTCACTGGGGTCGTGTGATCTGTCCCGGCTGCCCACCTTCAATTCCCATTAAATTCAATCATGCTGGGCTGCTTCAAGTTTAACTATCCATTCTTTTTTTTTTTAACAAACCTCCTCCTGTTTTACACATATAATAATTCCTTCTTTGGCATTCAGCAGAAGGGGAGAGAAACAGTGGGGTTTTCAAACCAACGGATGCCTCCGATGAACAGATGAGTGTTTAATGTTGGTATTTTTCATGCATATTCTTGAAAAGCTAAGAAATTATGTGAAGCACGGGTTGTTTGAGAGTAACAATGTTGAAATGGTGACAAAATCAGTCAGATTAAGTGACTGGCAGAGACTCTTAGATGAATAATTCAGGCTACAAGATGAAAGACAGCTTTGTCTTTTGTAGTCTGTCAGGCAGGAAGCTGGGGAGAGCCACGACTGGCTCTAAGACTGCATGATGCATCATTCGAACTGCCTGATAGTTTGCCTGGGAGGCTAAAAATGATATTGATTTTTTTCCCCTCCTCATCATTGGAATTTTCATTTTCCCTTTGCCGAGGGAGACTTATACCTGGCAAAGTAATAATGCATTATTTTTCACTTTCTATAAGAAGCACGAGACCGAGCGTTTTATATCTGTGTTAAACCTCTGAGATGAAGTCCTGTTCGCCTGCTTGCTGCAGGTATCATATAGGATTTGGCGTCTCCTTGAAATATGTCACCATCAGACTGACAGATCCCAGTGAATTACATATGAAGTGTTTTTATTGTCGAGTGTGAACATTATTCAGCGCTTTGTCTCCGACTCGAGCTGTGATTAATAGCTGTCACTTCATGAATTCAGCTTGCATGACGGAGCATCTTGTGACCTTTCTTAGGGAAATGGTCTGGAGACAATGCAATATGAAGGTGTCAGTGAGCAATACATCAGAAATACAAAAGCACAAACACAAAACTAATTAGAAAGCGTTCAAAGAGTGAATAAATCTGCCAAGGCTCCTCAATCTCTCAGCTTTGTAATGTTAATATTACAAAATATTTAGACATTTTAAGCTATTTTCAGATTCAAATCTACTTCTGATTGTGCATTCACAAAAATATTACAGGTGCTGTTATGATTATTTTTTTTTAAGTATGTGCGTTGATTAAATGGAAAATCAAGCCCAAAAGTCTGCAAGAGCTCCATCCATAGCCTGTTTTTATTCCAAATCAAATCCTGCCTGTGTCAGGGCCTGATTTCCCCGGTCCTATGAAATATGCATTGTTGCATTGTTTTGGACCCATTTGGGTTGGAAGAACATAAAATAAAACCAGCAGCATTCATTTTTAAGTTTTTAAGTTCACAAACAAGTTACCTTAAGGTGAATGGATGCTACGGGAAAGAAATACACATGGTCTGTAAACGTGATTTATGTTTTAACAACTGTGGGACAGTTATTTACTGTCATGAAAGATGGGCAATTATATGATGCGTGTCTGTCGACACAATAACAGACTGTACGGGATCTTTGTTTAAAACGTTGGCGTGTGTGGTAGATAGAAATATATGCATTCCCTCCAGGAATGCTAAATTTACTTCTGTACACTTTTATTAACATTTAGAGTCTGTTTTGCTTGCCATTTGGTCAATTAAGGTATAAAGAGCTCACATTAGACTTCAAAGTCATAATATTTTATTTTTTATCAGGGTAATATGAAACAGTGTCTCACCATCAGTATGCAGCAGTGTGAGCTCTCTGAGCGTCTGTTACGATTTCTGAAAAGTAGACGAAGCTAACTGCTGCTCAGACTGAGGTTGATTGAACAGCCCAGACCTCCAAAATTTATAGAAGTTACAGAAACTATATATTATAAAGTTTAACCAGTTTATGTATGAGACCATGTTGCACCATTAACCTGCATTACATCACAGACATTCTTATTTTGGCTGCTCCCTCTGTGTATCCTCCATCACTACATGAACTTCCTATATGGTCTAACAAAGTTGAGTCAGGTCCTCTGGACGGATTCTTGCTGTTGAAACATTTAGTCTTTTATCCAAAAGACAGTCAGTCTGAGGAGCTGCAACAAACTCAGTCTGGTAATAGGGCATTAACAGAGTGATCGAGTAATCTACACATCGATTGCTAGGACATCTATCGAGGTTAAAAATGTAACGTCGAGTAACCGTAGTGACGTCATATTATGTGACCACCGTATGACCGTAGGGGGCGGTGTTGCACTGTTGCAGGTCACAGAGTATGGTGTAACACCGGGTCCAATCCACCGAACCAGAAACAGTTTCCTCTGACCTTGTTTCACAAACAAAAGCAAAAAATATTAACCTCTAAACCTATAAAAAAAAATCTATAAACATATTAATCTCTAAAACTAAACTTAATGCGCACCACAGCTGGCGGTGGTGTGGGGAGGTCGACCCCCCCCCCCCCCCACGTTAAGTTTCGTTTCTGACGTGCTGCACGTTTCTTCACGTTTGCAGTTTAATAATAATAACTAATAGTTTAGTTTTTCCTGTGACTTATTTGCAGTATGATAAATGGTAGGAGCATTATATACGCTCCCAATGTTTTTTTTTTTTTTTTTTTTGTAAATAATTACCTTTTTTGTGGTTTTATTTATTTTTGTATCTTGAGATCCATGACGTCATCAAATACTCGAGTTCTACTTGATAACTCACTGTTATGTTAATGTCAAGTTTAAAAATTATATACTCGTTCAACCCCTATCTGGTAAATAGCACCTTCTCCTAGTGGATCAATCAGTTTGCTGCTGACTAAATCCACCTTTTGGATACTTTTAATATTTGTACAAACTTCATGCCAATGGATTTTAAACTACTTTATTAAGAATTTACCAAACGAAACGTAAAACACACTGATAAAACAAGTCTTGTATTTTAAGTCTATCACCACAGTTTTCACATTGTTCTGACTTTTTTCTGATTTTCAGTTAACCATTCCACCTAGCAATGATACATTTAAATCCAAACATTTTGTATTAGCACCGAATAATCTATACATTTGCGTCATGGCATAGATAAGACAAACTCAATATGCAGTGCTATACAGACCCAGTTTTTTGTACTTTGTACTTTGTCTAAATTCAGAACAGACTGTTTACAGTGACCTTTTTCATTTGGTAATACGTAACCCTTCTTATATTACTCACCTTCTCTCCTCTCAGCATGATGAGGGCAGACCAAACGAACCAAATTGATCTCTGATAAAACACTGCAAGTGTTTATCTCCAGGGGGCTCAGGTACTGATTGTGTTTGCATTTTTCCAGATGGTCGCTAAACGGAACACTCATTGATCTGGGGAGCGACTACCGGCGTCACATGTCTGGGGGCAGCCTGATCATTAGGAACCTGGACAAGGACCAAGACTCTGGGATGTACCAGTGCACAGCTTTCAATACATGGGGTACTATCCTCAGCCGCAGAGCCAGCATTCAATTTGCATGTAAGTGATGCTGCCTTTACTAATATTTTCTTGTCATGGCTCAGACACAGTTATGACATTTTGGCATCTTTTTGTATCTGCTATATGTCAGTGTGTTGTGTGTAATAAGCTTGCGGCCCACAACTTGCAATTTTTTTATTTACTCCCCCGATTTCTAATTTAGATTGCCTGGGAATAGATTTTCAAAAGGGGACATGGTAATTGAGTGAAATGTCAGTTGCAGCAAACACAAGAGTAGCCTCCGACTGCCTCTGAACCCCATTGATTCTCATTAGCGGTTCAAACTCTGACAGCCTCTATGCTTCGTCAGAACACTCATATTTCGCCAAGTTCTACTCCAGGTCTTGTTATCCAAGCTTTAAAGCAGACAGACTCAAATACTGCGTGAAAAGTGTTTGTATCTTTGTACAGTAATCACCAGATACTTCTTCATGTATAATGCATGTGGCTGATTGTGAACAGATCAGACGGTGACAGGCTGACTGTTGCTCTGCCAGTCAGCTCCTTAAAAGACAACAAGGAGTGCTGGGACGTGATGCTGTGGAGTGGGGTCCTACCTTCCTGACGAGCTCTGTAGAGGCACCGCTCTTTTCTTGATCAAGCCTGCTGACTATTGATCCTGTCCCAAGGATAGGGAGCCTTTCACTTCCTCTCATGAGATGGACTGCCATTATCCCTATAGCTCAGTAATGAATCTCACTTGTGGGGATCGGGTGTGGAGCAGAGCTGCTTGACATTTATTGTCTTGCCTAAATGCACAGTGAGGGAGGCCTAAAAGATCAGCAGGGCTGATACTCTTTTTTTTTTCTTTCCGTGTAATGAGACGACTGCCCAGAGATAGAAATGTTTTTCCTTGTTCTCTGCATTTGGTTAGCCCTCAATATTCAGCTGAGACCGCAATAAGCATGGTCACCTATAGCTCATTTCTGTAGCTTAAACAAACTAATTTGTGTTTTAGGTAATAGAAACTGTGGTAAAAATGTTTGCTTTCATCCTTCCTGGATCCATAAATTCTTCAACTCTAAGCATATAAACAGTTATCAAACCTTCTTTACTGCATTTTTATTGTATTTTCTACAGAATATGTTTGTGTTTTTGACAGGTACATTAACCCATAACTTCTGATTCACTCAAGATTATTTGAAAAACTTGATACACATTTGTACCACCACTAGACAGAGTCTCATGTAATCTTTGCATCATCCCACCTCTAACATCAAGGCCACAAATCAAGATCAAAGGTTATGCAAGGTCTTTGTCCAGGCCATTGTTATAGATTGCTGAATTGCTGTATAAGATAAGATAAGATAAGATAAGATAAGATAAGATAAGATAAGATAAGATAAGATAAGATAA